AGTCCATGGCATAAAGACCTGTCAGACAAACTCGGCAAAATGGCTTCGCTGTGGATGCTGATGGCTATGCATTGAAATTTGAAAATATTTCCCTTCATTATACTTTGATAACAACCAAAACAAAGAACAAAGAAAACAACAAGATGGCATGCATTGAAAATTTGAAATTGTTTCCCTTTGTAACATGGTGAAGCGCAGAGGGGCGAGGAGGATAGAGGGATGGAGGTGCGGAAGGACAGAAGAAGAGAAGAAAGTGGGATGAGGAACACCAAGATGATCACGTATACAGACAGAAAAAGAAAACCGGTCCCTTGATGTCGGTGTTTCAGTGGTGGTTCTGCTCCTACCACCTTCTCCCGAATAGAACGCCTGGTATTGCTGCATCTGGACAGGAAGTTCCATCAAATACATCGATTAACGACTGGGCGTTTTATTCGGGTGCAGACGGTAGTCACCACCAACTCTGAGGAGGCGCTATGAGATAGATGCAACCTACACACAGTATACGCACCTCCACACATTTGCCACTTTGGTTCCCAATCTGCACCTACGTAGTTTTGCGAATAGGCAAACCAATCAAGGGATCTCCATGCCAGCTACTAGATGCATGTGAGGGGCTTCTTACCTCAGATAATAGGCTCAAGGGCGAGGTTTCAAAGCATAATAAAATTAAATAAACTAATGGTTTAATACTATTAATAGTCATCCTTCAAGGACCCGTGTAATATTTCATAGCACATGTGAAAGCCACTGAGCCAGTTGAGAGACAGCCAAAGCCAAGAGGTAAGACAGCCCCAGCTCCCCAGCTAACCCAAGAACTTTTTCTTTTTTTTTTTTCTTTTTTTTTGTGCTAACCCAAGTACTTGAGGATGCTAATTCTCCTTTTATTTTTAAGCGCCCCTTTTTTCAATTCGACCCAGCATTTTAGAAAAAAGACAGAAGACCAGTGGTGATTTCATGGTTCAAAAGAATCAAAAGATTCAAAACCTGTTGAAAAATCACACTCCACAAAAGAAATCATTCTGCTGCAACTTCTTGCAGGCACACACATCAGTGCAGAGTCTACAGCTTGGGTTGCCGTTGACATGAGACCAGATAAATTTCAAAGACCAGACTGACAGATGGACCAGATAAATTTCAAAGACCAGACTGACAGATGGACCTGAGATGGTTAACAACGTCCTACTTTCCAGTGTTCTCCTTCCTGGTGGATTTTATAACGGAAAAAAAAAACGTCCAGTGTTTGATGGGTCAACCTAAATAGGACAGCTGGTTAACAAGCCCTGTACTTTTCAGAGTTCTGCTATCGAGTGGCAATTATAACAAAACCCGTCCGACTTTTGGCAGTTAACCTATATATAGTATATACAGTAGTATGCACTGAGAAGTGGGGCATCCCTATTACCACTTGTGACAAGACTGAGAAAGCTAGGGTGGCCTTTACCTTTAACCCCTTGATTCGGCTGTAGTCCATACAGTCATACTTGGGAAGGATGAACTCTACCAAATGTCCTTTCTTCTGGAGAGCTCGCCCCAAGCCTGTCACTACATCAGCAAGACCACCAACCTGATAGCCCCCAACCACAAGAGAGATCCACATCCCAGCACTCCACCACACACACAACACCAAAGCACACGCACACACCCACACACACACCCAAAAGGGGACAAAAACATCACAAACAGAAGCTCGCAAAACATGCCTGAAGGTACACTAACTGCCAAGAATGCAAGGAACAAGGAGGGTCAAGGCCGCCGTTGAGAGTGGGGGTTCATCCCTCCAGGCCTATGCCTTGGACGTCTTTCAGTCCCAAATTATCAAACTCCAAATTTCATAACTCGCAGAGTAAACAACAATACACAACAGTCAGCAGTCAAGGAAGATGGCAAGAAATTGCAACAGAAGGCTTGGTTTCATGAAATTCAAACTTTGGACTAGCCACCACATCCCCTTGCATTGAGAGAACGGCAAAAACTAACAGCGGGAAAAAAATTAATGTATTCGCCATACCTGGCACAGGCAAAATAGAATTTTCAATTTTGACCGCCTTTAATGAAGTTTTCTCCTTTTCGTTTTCTCAATGTGGTTTGTAAGTCCCGTTTCTATATTTCGTTTTGGAATAGTATGTTGACATTTTAAAGCATGAGACACTGGACCCGTTTTCCAGTACGAGCATAGGCTAGGTGTCGGCCCCAGCATTCCGGGTTGAGATGTGGAGGGATTCCCGGTCTCCTTTTGCTCATATAATGAAAACATGCCTTTCCTTAAAAAAAAAAAAAAAAGGTACAGAACTAAAGATACGCAGAAGGTTCTTTCCCCAAAAAACATCAGCAACAGCAAAAGCAACAACAGGAATCTGAAGAACATCTCCTGCTCCCCAGCCCAATAGCTCCTCCTCGCAAACTTTCCCCACCAAGACAAGGATGAACGCCCACAATCCTCTCTCTCTCTCTCTCTCTCTCTCTCTCTCTCTCTCTCTCTCTCTCTCTCTCTCTCTCT